TGGGAAACAACAGCAAAACTCTGCCTTAAAAAAAAAGAAAAAAAGAAAAAAAAATTAAGCATAAAATGATACAACATCATGCAAAGAGTAAAACAGTTCCATTCAGTATAAAATGAAAAGTATAGCTCAATTCCTGTCCCTGAAGATCACCATCCTCACTGGTTCTTTGGGTGTGACTCAGGAAAAAATGCTTATACTGGTATATAATATTCGTTTTTATAAACATACACATCACATGAACTTACTGTCTCCTGGAGAGCTCTAGGGATCAGCACACAGTCATGTTTCCCTCATTCCACTCTATGCGTGAACTGAAATTGACCTAACTAGAACCTTGTGGATGGACATCTAGATAATTTCTTTTTTTTTTTTTTTTTTTTTTGACATAGTTTCACTCTTGTTACGCAGGCTGGAGTGCAATGGCGCGATCTCGGCTCCCCGCAACCTCCGCCTCCTGGGTTCAGGCAATTCTCCTGCCTCAGCCTCCTGAGTAGCTGGGATTACAGGCACGAGCCACCATGCCCAGTAATTTTTTTGTATTTTTAGTAGAGACGGGGTTTCACCATGTTGACCAGGATGGTCTCGATCTCTTGACCTCGTGATCCACCCGCCTCGGCCTCCCAAAGTGCTGGGATTACAGGCTTGAGCCACCGCGCCCGGCCAGATCATTTCAAAATATGCCAACAAACAATGCTGCAGGAAACATCTTTGAATGATTATGATGCAGAATTTTTCTCAGCTACTGCCAACCAGGGACCTCCACAGCTGGCAAGGCACCCCTACCCACCAGCCCCTGTCTGGCCCTCACTCAGGCTTCAGGCCTGCCACTGGAGGTGCCCCGCCTACTTGGTCTAACTGTGTTATAGCTTGTATCCACGTTCGGCGGTTCCCAACCTCTCATCCCATGCCCAAGAGGAATTAGGATATGCTGGCAATTGAAGGGTGAGAATGGGTGGAGAAGAAATTTATCGAGCAACAGAAAAGCTCTCAGCAGAGAGGTGACGTAGTGGGTAGTCCACCACCCCGCGGTTGGGTGATTTCTCTCCCCATGTGGCTGGGTCCAGGGCTTTTTATGGACTCAGAATGGGGAGTGTGTGCTGACTGGTTTGTGAGTATGTAAAAAAGGTTAAAGCAAAGATATCACTCAAAAGTGGCACGACAGTGTAGAAAACCAGTTAGGAAAGGGTAGGTATATGTCAAATAGGTGAAGGGTGGGGATCAATCAGGAAAGCATGTCAAACAAAAAGACAGATTCTCAATCTGGTCTGTGGATTTGACTTGTAGCTTGACTTTCAGGCTTTTAAGTGTCTTTGGCTTGGAGGTGGGGTTTCACCAGAGACCCACCCATATCTGTCTAGGCACTTGCCTGCCTCCTGCTGCTATCAATGACAGATATCTTGACATACTTTAGTGAGTTAACGCAAGGGATAAATTCCTAATAGTGACAGTTCTGGAATAAAGAGAAAGGGCATTTTAAATTCTGATTTTTTTTTCTTGCGAATTTGCCTTGCACAAACTGGGCACCATTGCATTTTCAATAGCAGATTAATCAAAGTGCTGATTCCCCACTTACTTATTAATAATGGGTATTTTCAAGGTTTCAAAGTTGTGCCCATCTGGATAGGTGAAAACGCTGGTGTTTTAATATGCATTTTTTTTTTTTTTTAGTTGTGTGTGTGTGGCTTACGTGGTTCCCTATGTTTACTGGTCATGAGTGTTGTTATTTGTTTGTGTTTTTCTTGACTTCCCTATTCATATTCTCACCTTCAATGGATCCTTTTCTCAGATCATCTGTGCCTCTCTTTGCCTCAGGAAAATGTCTTTTGGTTACTTCTTCAATTGTCTCCTTCCCTCTGTCTTCTCTGCCTCTTTCCTGGATCCAGACATCTGGGTCTAGAGTTATCTTCATGTTATTTTTATTTTATCCTATGTTTTCCATCTGTCAGTCTTTACACTCTGCCCTAAAGGAGATATTTTTCAACATTATATCCCAGACATTCAGCTTTCTTTTCAAAAATTCTAGATTATTATTTTTGAAAATCAAAGTAGTATATGAGGATTGTTTTATAAGCAAAATATAGCTTATATAGTTTACAGTAAAAATAGCACTGTCCCACAATTTCTTATTCCTAATCCTCCCCCTAAACTTTTTTTTTTTTTTTTTTTTTGAGACAGAGTCTTGTTCTGTTGCCCAGGCCAGAGTACAGTGGTATGATCTCGGCTCACTGCGCCTCCACCTCCTGAGTTCAAGAGATTCTCCTGCCTCAGCCTCATGAGTAGCTGGGACCACAGGCGTGTACCACTACGCCTAATTTTTGTATTTTTAGTAGATATGGGATTTTACCATGTTGGCCAGGCTGGTCTCCAACTCTGACCTCAGGTGATCCAACCGCCTCAGCCTCCCAAAGTGCTGGGATTACAGGGGTGAGCCACCATGCCCGGCCTCGCTAAATTTTTGAACTATTATTTTCCTGGTATTTACTGCCATATTTCTCAACTCTAGATGTTATCTTTTGATGGCCTGTCATGGAAGACAAAGATTTATCAACAATACCACCACCATGTCCCCACTGTCATTCTCTGCATTCTGCTGTGATAGTTACTCCCCAACTTTTTGTTAAATTGTTACTCTTTGTTTGGATAAACATGTAAGCTCAATTCATGGTTGAGTCAAAAAGTCCATTATGATTATGTCTGCTTTTATTTTTTCCTGGCATTAATAATTGTTTATTATTATTATTTTTTTTTTGCTTAGTTTTTAATATACCTTCTTTTTTTTTTTTTTTTTGAGATGGAATTTCGCTCTTAGTTACCCAGGCTGGAGTGCAATGGCGTGATCTTGGCTCACCGCAACCTCCGCCTCCTGGGTTCAGGCAACTCTCCTGCCTCAGCCTCCTGAGTAGCTGGGATTACAGGCACGTGCCACCATGCCCAGCTAATTTTTTGTATTTTTAGTAGAGACGGGGTTTCACCTTGTTGACCAGGATGGTCTCAATCTCTTGACCTCGTGATCCACCCGCCTCGGCCTCCCAAAGTGCTGGGATTACAGGCTTGAGCCACCGCGCCCGGCCCAATGTACTTTCTAAACCCTCCTAATGGAGCTGAAAAACACTTTTGAATTTGGAAGAGCCCTTGTCCACAGACTGGCTCCTTCCTTTGTTTCTCTCCTTCCTGAGGTGCAAAGACAGAGCAAAGAAAAACAGATTAGAGTGTCAGGCAGACAAGAAAGGCAGGGAAAAGGTGGAATGTTTCCAGGCTCCTGAAAAGGAAAAGGGGAAACAGATCCACAGGGATCTAGGGAGCTGGAGTTTTTGAAATCAGTTGTTTGACCTCAGAATATCTCTACAGAAACAGCGTTTTCCATGGTGGGTGGTTCCCAGCCCGTCTATCACCCCAACACACTCCTAAGCTGAACAGCTGTACAGGACCTTTCCAGAAAAGTTGCAGGACTGGGACGGGCACAGTGGCTCATGGCTGTAATCCCAGCACTTTGGGAAGCCGAGGCGGGCAAATTGCCAGAGGTCAGGAGTCTGAGAACAGCCCGGCCAACATGGTGAAACCCAATCTTTACCAAAAATTCAAAAATTAGCAGGGCATGGTGGTGTACGCCTGTAGTCCCAGCTACTCAGGAGGCTGGGGCAGGAGGATCACTTGAACCTGGGAGGTGAAGGTTGCGGTGAGCAGAGATCATGCCACTGCACTCCAGCCTGGGTGACAGAGCAAGACTCCATCTCAAACAAACAAACAACAAAGTAGCAGTGTTATTTTTCAAGTTTGCAAGAAAATAGAAACATTGAAGCAGCAATAATTTTGCATTTACCTCGTATAGCAGTGCTGGAGGCAGAGAGAGTATTGATGCTTTCTGCTTGGTGAAGACAGCAGTGGGCCAATGGCAAGCCCTCCATCCCCCTAGTGGGTGAATGTGGGTGAGATGGACAGGAGAGAAAAAGAATCCAAGGGGAGAAGGCGATTCGGAGAAGGGAGAAGCCTCCACTGGGCAGAAGCCCTTCCCTGACCTTAATACCCAGCCTTCTCCACCCTTAATCTTGCTAACCCTGCCCAGAACATAGTAGGTGTTCAATGAGTGATATAAGCAATAGCCTCTGTGAGGTCAGAGCCCTTCTCAAGGGTGTGAGGATGGATACCCATAAGTCAGAAGTCTGTAATTTAGGGGTGGTTGAGAAGCACAGCAACAAATGTTTCATGTATTTTGATCTTTCAGTTCATCTGGGCAAACATGTAAAATCTTTGTATTGTGGAAGAACTAATCGTCCCCTAAGGGCCCTACTGGGGGTTGGCAGATCTCGTGTACCTCTTCTGAGCCACCAGATCTTCTCTTTCTTCATCACCAAACCCAGGAAGGGGTCATATTCCTTTCTGTGGGTGGTGGAGAGAAGAAAGGCAGGGGAACACTTAGGGGTTATTAGCTTTTAACAGAACCACATTTTAGTTGGTTGGAAGCCTAGTAATGAGCAGGGATGATCACAGAGGCCTCACCTCACACCTTGTCCTGACTTCATCTGGACTGAGTGGACCCAAGCGTGTTCCAGAGAGCTGGGTGGTGGTGCACCTCCCGCAGGCCGCCAGAGCACAGAAAGTCTTACCCTGCCCGGGCCCGGCTTTGTGCATTTTCAAGTATTCTGTCCTGGTGGCTCCAGGGAATATAATTCTTAGTCCCCAGAATACCAGTCTAGACTAGCTCTGTTGTTTAACACTTGCCTCTATTAGAATATCTTGTGATAGCTGTTTGTTAAATTTTGTTAACCTTGCCTTGCACATAGTAGGTGATCAATAAGTAACTGTATGAATTAATAAACTCGGATCCTTTCTCAGCATCTAGCTCTGCAATGTGCCTGGAGAATAAGTGACAATCTTTCTCTGCTGTCACCACTCCTCCCCTCTGGGATGTATGCTGAGCACCTTCCAGAGTCTCTGCATTTCCGCGGGGAGGTGCTTGTGCACACACATGCACACCTGCACACACGCAGGCTCATACTCACCACACCTGCGCGGGACATGTTCAATGCTCCTCTGTGTGTGCTGGCACAGGAACAGGAGAGCTCCTGTCCGCACCCTCTCACTCTCTCTCCAGGGTTGTGTCCAGAAATATGCTCCAGTTGCCTTTCAGTGTCTGCGGGCAACAACATCAAGCATCATGACCAACATCACAGCACAAGTCCTTCCTATGTGCTGGGCACTGTTTACTGCTTTTCAGTTACTTCCAGCAACAACCCTAAGAAGTAGGTCTGATTATCCGATTTTAATGCTGAAGTCACTGTGACTCAGAGAAGTTAATTTGCCTGAGATCACACAGATGAGCCCAGATACAACCCCAGGCCTTTCCAACACATATCTGTATACATAATTACGCCGTCATTCTTGAGCATCAAAGGGAGTTCAGCAAACAGAGGAAGGAGCTGGGGTTCTGACACACTACATGTCAGGGCCACCAGAGGCCGCTGTTTCCCCATGCTTGGGGCAGGAACGCAGCCAATCCCCTACAGACCTCAGGAACGCAGCCCGAGTGTGTGGCCTTGGGAACACAAAGGAGTCCCACAAAATTCATACCCAATAGGGCCCACCTCACCTTGCTTCAGCACAGTCTTCAGCCCACCCTCACCCCCACAACTTGGCATAGGAGCATGGGGAAGTTGGCAGTTGCAGATACCAAAGCAGAAGTCTGAATTGGAACATGTGATTCTTCTGCTCTGTCAGAAATTCTTCCAGTTGTAGGGCCTGGCCTCCTGATTTTCAGGCAAGGCTAACTGCTGGGGCCCTTCTAAGAGCAGAAAGCTTCTCAGAGACGGACTCCCGGGGTGAGAGGACACTGCTTAGGTCAGTGGCCTCCAAATTGGGGTATGTAAAATGATCTGTTGGGGTACAGAAAGAAAATAATAGAACCTTTATGTGTGTATTTATAATTTTAATCTAAAAATAAGAGCTGATGCAGTGTCATGGGTCTGTAGTCCCACTACTTGGGAAGCTGAGATGGGAGCATCGCTTCAGCCCAGGAGTTTGAGGCCAGCCTGGGCAACATAGGAACACCCTATCTGTAAAATAAGTAAATAAATGACAATGTGACTTCACTGTTTTGTTTGTTTGTTTTTTGTTTTGAGACAGAGTCTTATTCTGTCACCCAGGCTGATCGCACCAGGAGTGCAGTGGTGCAGTCTCGGCTCACTGCAACCCCCACCTCCCTGGCTCAAGCGATCCTACCAGTTCAGCCTCCCAAGTAGCTGGGACTACAGATGCCTGCCACCACACTCAGCTAATTTTAATGTTTTATATTCAGATTGGTGCTGGCTCTGTCACTGGTTTGTATTTCAAATAGTCCTGAGTCAGCAAAGTATGTGTGGTGAACTGAGAGAAGAATGGGGGTGCCCTGACAGGAACAGGCCTCAGCACAGTTGGCCTGGCTCCTCCTGTATGGGATTTATGCTGGCTATACCAAACGTAAGGAGATAACACATAAATGAACCAGAGTCATCCTCACGGAATTGACAAGTAGCTTCTAAGGATTCCTATGGAGAATACAAGGTTTGATGGTAAAGTGATCAGTATCTGCACATTCGAACCAGAGGAAGATGCCTGAGCTGCCACTTCCGCTTCTTGTGGGAACTCTTAGCTGGCTTATGACATAAAAATGACATTCTAAATAGACCTTTTAAAGTACCCATCTTCCAAATATAAACCTGTCAAAATTATTTGAAATTATATTATCACTTACGATGAACCTTGCTGTAGTAACAATGAATCACTGTATCTTGATACAGTAACAGCTAGTGACAGAAGTGCAGGCATATGGTGGGTGTGTCAGGGTACAGGCAAAACCCTATTTGGAGGTGGAGGCACAGATCAAAAGGCCACCGGAGTACGCTGCAGCCAATAGTTCAGCGTTCCTGTCTTTACCATTCTTTTTTTTTTTTTTTTCTTTTTGAGATGGAGTTTCGCTCCTGTTGCCCAGGCTGGGGTGCAATGGTGCGATCTCAGTTCACTGCAACCTCTGCCTCCTGGGTTCAAGAGATTCTCCTGCCTCAGCCTCCTAAGTAGCTGGAACTACGGGAGCTCACCACCAAGCCCAGCTAATTTTTGTACTTTTTTTAGTAGAGATGGGGTTTCACCATGTTGGCCAGGGTGGCCTCCATCTGTTGACCTCGTGATCCACCTGCCTCGGTCTCCCAAAGTGCTGAGATTACAGAGGTGAGCCACCGCGCCAGGCCCCATCTTTACCATTCTTTGTTTGGAGCTAAGGGGCTGAGCTGCTGGGTTTGTGAAGACTGTTGCTGACATTGCTCAAGGGCTAGGCATTGGAACTATGACCCTTGGGGATTTTGGTTTCAATTCCAATGGTGGCATATAAAGTCAGGTGGTTTTTGTTTTTGGTCTACTTTGTGAGTCTCCAATTCCTGTAAAGAAAGGAGGGGAGGAAGAGAAAAGGGAGGAGGAAGCAGGCTGGAGCCTTGCATTGCTTGGTGCTCTGTGACGCTCCCTCGAGTTAGACTTTGTGTGCATTTTCCCATTTTTGCGCAATGGAGGAGACTCCTTCCGGATCCCTTTTCTTAAGTTCTTCCTTTCAGGAGTAGATTTTTCTCATGGCATTTGTCTGAATCTTGACAGAAAGATGATTCTTCTTTATTTTCTTTCTCTGAGACAGGATTTCACTCTGTGAGTGCAGTGGTACAATCACAGCTCACTGCAGCCTTGATCTCCCTGGCTCAAGGGATCTTCCCACATCAGCTTCCCAAGTAGCTGGGACCATAGGCATGTGCCACTATGCCTGGCTGATATTTTTTTGTAGAGGATGGGGTCTCACTATGTTGCCCAGGCTGTTCTTGAACTCCTTGGCTAAAGCGATCTGCCCACCTCAGCCTCTCAAAGTACTGAGATTACAGATTTGAGATAGTTAAATGAACTTTCTAAGAGGACTTCCTGAGAACAAACATAAGGTTGTCTGTATAAGTTCTTGTCAAAGCGTCAGTACTCCTTAAGATGATTTAAGCATGTAGAGTCCTGGGCTTTGCTTCTGGCCTCCCAGCTCAGACTCTATGAGCTCACCCAGGAAAAGGGATTTTCAACAAGCCCCTCCCTCCACATCCCACAAACTAGGGATTTTGAGAATCATTATTCTGTCTAATGACATTTTTGAAAACTCTAGTCTTTCAAAGAGTTTCTTATTTGAATTTATTTCTCTTACTATAGAATAGGGAAGGCCTGGGGGTCGTTTATTCATTTTCAGCACAAGGATGAAGTGAGGCTCTGAAGAGGTCAGCCATTCATGAGTATGCAGGAAAGGTAACAGGAGATGGAGCGGGTCCTCCCTTGGAACCAAGCCCTCCCAGCCCAGTTCTGCTGCACACACTGGACACACGTGAGTGTGGGGAGTGATGTGACACTTCAGTGAGGAGGGCCCTGAATTAAAGTAACTCCAAGAGAAGGGGCTGAATTTCTGAGGCCAATTCATCCCCAAAACCAGATCCCTACCTGGGCCCAGTGGGAAATCACAACCCCACTCATCTTCAGAAAGGGATCTTGGCACGCAAGGCTTAAATGCTATTCAGTCTAACCACATGACTGGCCAAATCCCTGGAGGTTTTTAGCAGAATATCAGCACAATGGCATGTTGGCTGCAGAATACTAAAAAGGACTCTAGGCTGGGTGCAGTAAGTAGCTCGCGCCTGTAGTCCCAGTTACTAGGAGGCTGAGGCAGGAAGATGGCTTGAGCCTGGGCCTATGAGGCTGCAGTGAGCCAGGATAGCACCACTGTACTCTAGCTGGGTGTTAGAGGAAGACTGTGTCACACAGACACACACAAACACGGGACTCTAGAGTAGAGGCCAGAAAGTTCCTTCTCCCGGCAGAGTCTCCTCCCTGCCTCTGCTGCCCCTGGACAGCAGCTCCTTCCAGAAGGCCCACCCTGTCCTGCTCTGCCCTGGGCGGGTCCAGCAACCCTTGCGGTCCTCGGATTGCACACCGGGGCTGCTTCTGCCTTGTCACTTATCACTCTGCACTGAAATGGCCAGGCGTCTGCTTCCCCCAGGGGACAGTGAGTCTCTTGGAGGTAGGTGCTGGGTTCCGTAAGTGTCTGTAAAATGAACAGACTCCTCACGGGGGTCTTCTCTTGTCCCTGACATAGTCATCATCACCTCAAGGACCCTCACACCCCACTGAGACAGAGCCGTGGCACTGCCACTGGATGAACTGCCAGCGTATTGTAAAATGTCTAGAATGTCCTCTTCTGTGTCACAGGGAAGGGACAGACCTTGAGCCAGGGCTGCAACCTCAAATCAGGGCTGCATGGCCACTTGCCACCTGGTCACTCTGGGCCCACCTCCAGATATTGCAGGCAACACCCCTGCCAGGTAGGAAGGGGGCCACTTTATTTTCCTGCTCTCAGAGGCTACAAAACCAACCAAGCAAGGCAAGTCAGCCATCGGGCTCAGCCTCCCCACCCACCCTCCAGGCCAGGTGTCTGCCAATGAGAGCCTGGGTTCTGCTTTCCCGCCTTTCCTGGCAGCACAAACCATGCTCAGGATGGTGAGCAATGCAAGTTCCAGGCACGCCTTCCTGCATTGCTGGGTTCCCAGGTGTCACTTCACCCGCAGGGTGAGTCCTGCACAGCTCTGTGGGCTGACACACACGCAGATCTCCCCACGCAAATACTGTTAGGCCGTGTGGCACCTTTCCCACTGAGAAAGCTCCCCGTCAGCAAGCTGGGGAGTGGGTGAGAGCCCATGCCGTGCCCGGCCGGGGCGGCACACACTGGCCGGGAGCCTGGGCAAGGCCCCCTGCGGCAGCAAGCGGCCAGCACACACTCGCGCCTCGAGTCCTTCCGCAGGCCTGCGGTCTGGCCTTGGGAAAAGCCCGTTTGCTCACCTGGTCCCGCGGTGGTTCCACGTGGGCGCAGCTGCGCACGTGCTGGTGCGTGCGATCCGAGTGGTTTCCACCCCGCCGCGGAGACCCCCAGCCCAGCGGTTGTAGACTTTCTTGGGGCCTCGACTCCCCCTAGGAGCCTGGTCCGCACTACGGGGGAGCGGCGCGTTATCCGGCGGGCCGGGCGGACACTCCTGCAGACCTCCTTTGGCCCATTTTCTCTCAGTTTCCAACCCAGAGCTGCAGGGACACGGGCGCGCTGCGTTTCCTCCGCTGAGCCCTCCGCAGGGCCGCCGTGCGGGCGGGCAGGGCCGAGGCGGCAGCGGGGCCGAGGCCTGAGGCGCCTGCGCGGGAGCCGACCCCGGGCGCCGGGAGCCGCGGCGGGAGCGCGGAAGGGTGCGGGCGTTACAGAGGGCCAAGGCCGCGCCCGGGGGGACGGGGAGGCCGGGAGAGGAAGCCGCCCGGGGGCGGGGTGTTTGGTCACCAAGGCTCTGAGGGACCGTGAAAGCTTTTTACCTGTTTTCATTGGGAGCAAATAACAAAACTGAAAACGCCGGAGGAGTGGGGCTGCAGCAATGGTGCGGGGAGGCCGGACGCTTCCCGGTGAAGAGCGGGAGGGGACTCCCAGACCCAAAAGGCGCGCTGGGCACGGAGTGGGGCAGCCGCCAGGGGGCGCCCGCACGGGCTCAGGCTCGGGCTCCGGGCGCGGGAGGGGCGGGGCGGGGCGGGGTCCGGTCCGGGGCTGCGCTCTGGCCGCGGCGTGAAGAATGGGGCAGCCGCCAGGGGGCGCCCGCACGAGCTCAGGCTCGGGCTCCGGGCGCGGGAGGGGCGGGGCGGGGCGGGGCGGGGTCCGGGGCTGCGCTCTGGCCGCGGCGTGAGGAATGGGGCAGCCGCCAGGGGGCGCCCGCACGGGCTCAGGCTCGGGCTCCGGGCGCTGGAGGGGCGGGGCGGGGCGGGGCGGGGTCCGGGGCTGCGCTCTGGCCGCGGCGTGAGGAATGCGGCCTTTGGCTGGTCCCAGGCCGGCATTCCGGCCGGCGCAGGAATGTGAACAGTGTGTTCACTGCGCGCTCTGAGCGCAAAACGGTTCTCCTCCCCTTGGAGAACGCTGGCCCCCTCTGAGCCGCACCCCCCGACCCCCTGGCACGTCCGTCCGTCCGGGTACTCGCAGGAGGCACCGGACAGGGGTGCGGCGGGAGGGAAGCCCGCAGGGGTGCGCTCATGCGCTGAGAAAGCCTGGCCAGCGGCTGAAAGGGGAGATAGGACCTGCCCCCTCCCCGTCGTCAGCCTCAAGGGGCACAGGGTTCAGATTTCAAAATGTGCCCATTTAGGGGGCGTGTTGTGAATGGCAAGACCTGGGGAAAGACGCGGAGAGGAAAAGCGGACAATATAGTTTGGGATTAGGTGCTTTCTGACCGCCCAGGGAGTGACTGAACAGCTAACAGCATTTGACTCATTGATTAACCGACCGTCTGCTACGTGCCAGTCCCTGAGATTAATTTTGGGGGCACACAGGAGAAGTCATCCCCTGTCCTTGAGGGGCTGACCTTCTGATCCTTGAGACTGTCTCTGAAACACCTAGGGAGAGCTGCGGGAGCCCAGGGTGTCGGGGGACACCGAGGAGTAACCCAGATTGGGGGTGGGGCCCCAGGAGGTCTTCCTGGGAGGAGCTGCGAAGTAATTTGGAAGACCAGTAGGAGTCAGCCCAAAAGATGGGGGAAGAGTATTTTAGACAGAGGGAACCTTGTGGAGGAAGAGCCTATGGTCCGACTGGCCCCCAAACACAGCCTAAGTCTGCTCCAGGCCTCTCTCCATGCCTGCCAAAGGCCCAACTGAGTCACAATAAGGGTCGGGGTGTCCACGTCAGTCCACCCGTGATGTCAGTTGGTCTGTGGAGCCCCTCTTCTGCAAGAGGCACAGCAGTGGCCTGTGAGGAGTGAGAAGAGAATCAGGGCTCAGCATGCTGCTGTGGGAGTATTGTGGGGACTGGCAGATAATCCCCATAAAGCATCTGGCATGGGGCCTAGCACCTAGTAGGTGTATACGTTGGCTCTGTATACATTGGCTGGTCTCTCCACACCTTCCTGATTGACCGATTCCCCTTCCCCTTCGTGGTACTGGTGTCTGGTTCTGAAAAGGCAGCTGTCCAGCTCTTCATCCCTGGGGAGGGACCTGGTCGAGGGGAAGACCATGCAGGTCTAGTCATGGACCGTCCTGATTTTTGTCCCTCCCTGGTTTGTGGGTGCATGCAGCACATGAGACTGGCTTGGTAGAGGCCATCATAAAGGTCCTGGAATACATCCAGGGCACCCGGTGCTGTGGGCAAGGAGGAATTGGAGCAGAGAAGGGCCTTGCTTGCAGGTGCAGCGTGGGAGATTGGCCCATGGGCTGAGAACAGGATGAATGAAGCAAGGAGGGTCAGGGTCAGGAAGGCTGAACTTGGGCAGTATCCAGGAAAGGACTGATGGGAGCTCGGAGGGCAGGGACTGAAAGCAGAGCTGGGAGACTGTCACTGGGGAGGCAGAGGAGACCAGACCCTTCCGCTGATTAGCTGCAAGGTGGGGCCAGGACTCTAAGCCCCCTACTGGATCCTCACCCCGCTTGGCTCAGTATGGATCTGAGCACACGAGGCCCCAGGGGATCATAGTCTCTGTGTGCCCCAAATGTCACTGAGTGATGGAACAGGAATGTTTATATCCAGAAGTTCTTTGTCAGCTCCCCCTTCCCAGGAATGCACTGGGACCTAAATTCTTGTGTGCAGAGGAAAAGTGCAGGCCTCTCCAGCATTGTTCTCGGCAAACACAGGAAGATGGGTTTCCTTTAGCTTTGTGGTGCTGACATCTGAATCCGGACCCCTCCCCCAGCCTTTGGGGTCAGGGAGGGAGGCAGAGGACCAAGCAGTCGATGGAAAATAAACACCCACCTCTGCTTTTTTGACTTATTTCATGTTCTTAGAATTTCCTCTCTTGGATTCTGGCTTTGTTATTTTAAAATTCCACACGTTGGTTAGGGTTGAGAAAATCCCCTGTTGCTATTGCTATGGAGAGGCAGCGCTACACTGGGGGCACAGAGTCTTGGCGCCCCCAGAGAAGTAAGCCAGCCAGCGGGCCTGCAGCCCAGTCTCCAAGTGAGTTCCTGAGTCAGCCTGTGTGCGGGAGGCTCTCGGGGATGGGTGTGTGTGTCTCAGTGTGAGCATGTGCTAGTCACACAGCTGGGATGTGGCAGTGTTGTGGTTCCAGCTCTCTGGGCTGGAGCGACACACTGCGGTAGTGATGGCTCCATTTGGGGACTTCCAAAGGGGCTTCCAGGTGGGCCTGGGCAGTGCATAAACTGAGAGGACAACTCCAGCCCACCAGAGCCCTGCCCCACACACACACACACAGGACTCAGGCTGCTGCCTCCTCTGAACTCCATGCTGCGGACATCTGGTCCTGTGCTGCCCTTCCACTGAGGCCTCTGCCTTTCCTCCTCCTCTCTTGTTACCCATTCCCTTTTCCTTCAGGGGATGTGTACAAAGATTTAGGCACAAGAATAATCATTGCAGTGCTTCCTGCTTTCACAATTTATTCATGCATTCATCCATTCTTTCATCCATCCATTCAGTCATCCAACAAATATTTATTGAGTGCTTACCAGGTACCAGGCATTGTACTGGATTCTGGAAATACAGAGACAGAGAAACTGGAAAACTGGAAACAACCTAAGGAGCCCAACAATTAGTGGCATAAAGTCTGGAGGGTCCACATGACACAGGGCTGGGATGAGGGTGAAGCAGGTGACGTAGGAGTACCCCAAAACCCCATAATCAAGACAAATGATAGTTTAATGTGACTTTTTCAAAATAAAAATTAATCCCTGGTGAAACAAATATCAAACTTGTAAATAAAGACAGGCTCAGTAACAGTTCTGTGATAGGTCATGCTTGGATCTGGAGGAAAGGAAAAATCAGTCATACAATACATTGATAGAATGTCACGCAAACATTAGGATATGTCAAGGAAGTTTGCTTACTGATGTGTAAAGAAATTCATGGCATGTTGTTGAGTGAAAAAAGGGAGATCATAGAGCCATACATAAAGTATGATCCAATTAAAAATATATCTAGGTACTGGAAACTCTGAAAGAGCCTATGTCTAGATGTTAACAGCTCAACAGCTCCTTCCTCTGGAATTAAGTTATTTTATTGCCTGCCTTTTGCCTATCCGTGTTTCCTGGCTATTTTAATGGCAAAGATGTAATATGTGTATAATTTTCTCAAAGATATTTTTCTAAGATGGAGTCTTGCTCTGTTGCCCAGGCTGGAGTGCAGTGGTGCGATCTCAACTCACTGCAACCTCCACCTTCCAAGTTCAAGCAATTCTCCTGCTTCAGCCTCTTGAGTAAGTGGGCGCACGCCCGGCTAATTTTTGTATTTTTGACAGAGATGGGGTTTCACCATGTTGACCAGGCTGGTCTCAAACTCCTGACCCAGTGATCTGCCTGCCTCAGCCTCCCAAAGTGCTGGTATTACAGGCCTGAGCCACTGCACCCAGCCTCAAAGATTTTTTTTTTTTTTTTTTTTTTTTGAGACAGAGTTTTGTTCTTGTTGCCCAGGCTGGAGTGCAATGGTGCCCTCTTGGCTCACTGCAACCTCTGCCTCCCGGGTTCAAGCGATTCTTCTGCATCAGCCTCCTGAATAGCTGGGATTACATGTGTGTGCCACCAAGCCAGGCTAATTTTGTATTTTTAATAGAGACAAGGTTTCTCCATGTTGGTTAGGCTGGTCTCGAACTCCTGACCTCAGGTGATCTGCCTGCCTTGGCCTCCCAAAGTGCTGAGATTACAGGTGTGAGCCACTGTGCCTGGCCTCGAAGATATTTTTTTAAAAACGGGAGCATTGCAGTAGAGCATGCTGCTCTGTAGAGACTCCCCACATCACTCCCTTCTCAATGCTGAGACTGAGGCAAGGCTGGGATAACTCTCCCACTTCCTAGATGAGAAAGCTGGGGCTTGGAGAGGCTGAGGCATGTAGTGGCGCCAGCCTCTGAAGGCAAGAGAGCCCTAGGGGTCCACATTTTGCCCCATAGCATGGCTGCGGCTTTTGCGTGCCAGCTTACGCTGAACTTTCTCGGTCTTGCCCTTTGCAGCCTGGCTGCTCTCCACTGGCCTACCTCTTCCACTGATGTTTTTTTCAACTGAGAAGAGAACTATAGGAAGAAAGCCTGGTTAAATGTGACTGGTCCCATCTCTGGGCCCTCAGTGAATGACAAGTGGGCTTGTGAGTGACTGACTGAGGGAGTGAGTGATCCCAGTTAGAAAGTATTTCCAATGTTGTGTTTTTCTCTTTGGCAAAGGCACACCCTGCAGACTGGCATGAATCATAAGTAATTCCCTAAAGCCCCTATCTGCCTGGAAGTGCCTAGTGGTGTTTCCCACAGTTCAGAAGCCATCAGCCCTGCATGCCAGCAGGCTTAGCTGTTCCCCACCCAGCCACAAACTCTTGCCCATCCCCTGGGGAAACCACTGGAGGGAGAGGAGCTTGAGGCAGAGGTGACACCTCTGGAGACTGCCATCATTCTGGGTTTTTGCTCACAGAAGCCCCAGGGCTGAGATCCTCCCGCTAGGCTCTCTGTGAATTCCTAAGCCTGATGCCTGAGGGCCAGAAGAGAAGCCCTTTCTTTCTTTAGAGGTGGGTTCCCAGGCTTCGGCTTTCTCTCAGGAGTGTGTGGTATCCGCTTGTCTACTAAATGCCAAGAAGCAAGAGTGCTCTTGGTTCTAAGTGTGGGTATAGCAGGTTGCATTTCTCAAAGACGGTGGTAACACTATTGTCTCTGACTATGGCTACTATGTAGACATAACTAAGTTATGATCAGTGACATGCAGGTGGAATTGTTGTGTGGGAATCTCTGGAAAGATGCCTTCAAAGGGAGGTGGAGGGCCCTTCTTGTCCCTTTCTCTATCCTGCTGTCTGTAATAAAGATGTGATGACTAGAGCTCTAGCACCCTTCTTGGACATGAAGACTTGGGGTGGGGGTTATTTGTTAATACCAGAAACCCAGAAGCTATGAATGAAAAGATAAACATATTTGACTAGATTAGAATCTTAAATTTTTGTGGCGAAAGCACAAAGAGAATAGATGAACAGATTTAGAAACCATACTTGTAAATCAGAGGACAAAGGGCACAAAGAATATTTACAAATTGCCAAGAAAAAGATAAATGATTCAATAAAAATACCGGCAATTTATGGAATGGCAGTTTCAAAGAGCCAAAAAAATATGAAAAATCATTAATAGTTAGTGAAATGATTAAGTCAGCCTCAAAAAAATAAAAAGACTGGGAATACCTATTGCTGATGGACCTGCAGAGAAAATTCACGTACAGTGTAACTTGAAATGTGACTTTCTCCAGCTTTAAAAAAAAATCAATTATAGGCCAGGCGCAGTGGCTCACGCCTATAATCCCAGCACTTTGGGAGGCCGAGGCGGTTGGATTGCGAGGTCAAGAGATCAAGACCATCTGGTCAACGTGGTGAAACCCCGTCTCTACTAAAAATACAAAATACTAGCTGGGCATGGTGGCGCATGCCTGTAATCCCAGCTACCCAGGAGGCTGAGGCAGAAGAATTGCTTGAACCCAGGAGGCAGAGGTTGCGGTGAGCCGAGATCGTGCCATTGCACTCCAGCCTGGGTAACAAGAGCGAAACTCCGTCTTAAAAAAAGAAAAAAAGAAAAGAAAAATCAATTATATTGCCTGGCGTAGTGGCTCACACCTGTAATCCCAGCACTTTGGGAGGCTGAGGTGGGCAGATCACCTGAGGTCAGGAATTCAAGACCAGCCTGGCCAAGATGGTGAAACCTCATCTCTACTAAAAATACAAAAAACTAACCAGGCGTGGTGGCAGGAGCCTGTAATCCCAGCTACTTGGGAAGTTGAGGCAGAAGAATCGCTTGAACCCAGGCATCAGAGAATGCAGTGAGCTGAGATTGCACCATTTCACTCCAGCCTGGGCAAAAGATCGAAACTTCGTCTCAAAAAAAAAAAAAAAAAAAAAAAAGATAAATATTATATAAAATTAATAATTTTACATTTTATAACTTGTACAAATTATGTCTATATTTCGACCACCAATTCAGTCCTTCTCATCTGTCCTATACAGGATAATGTGTATTACAGAATTGATCATAGTGTCCAAAAATTGGAATTAAAATGA